AATACAGGTGATTACAAAAGAAAAAAATTAAATTTGGAAAGCTATTATTAAAATATTAAAGTTTCTGATAGAATTATACATATGCTTCTTTATTGATGAGTTAAAAATTCCCAGCAGTGGTCCTAATAACTACTGTAATCTTGAAATAGTGATGAGGCAAAAATCAACATTTAAGATGAAACACAAGTGGTTCATCTACAACTGTAGAATGGGGTATGAAAATGTCTGTGGTTTCTATGAGTGACAGAGTCATGAGTCCTGCTGATATCATCATGGTTTTTAGTCCTAATGATACCATCATGGTTATAACTTTTCCCATACGCATTCACCCCTCCCTGGAATTCTACCTACAGACCCCCTGGGGGCTTGTCTGCCATAGATAAACACGCCCCATGTCCAGTGACTCTTGCCTCTGCTCCCACTTCTATTCAGCCTGCAGACACGCGGAGTAGGGTCACTGTCAGACCGCACACGGGTGTGAGCAGTGAGGTCAACAGAGCCACACTCAGACCCAGAAGTGCAGCTGTCCCCTCGGGGGTGACGCTGTCAGCCCAGTGCTTCTCCAGCCAAGGACTCTGTCTCTGGCGGGGCCACCCAGAGCCACTTCACAGCAGCATGTGTCTGTTGCTCCCATGATGTCACTCTCCAAGATCAGGAAGTGTCCCCAACTAGCCTGCATGCCGTTTAAACCTTCTGTGCTCATTCTGCACTTTCTGTTCATTTGCTTCCTCCTGGAGGAGGGCACTCCTGTATATCAGCCAGACATTGTGCCCAGGATTCAGACCCACAGTTCCATGTGGGTATCCAAGACTGGGGTTGTCTTCTCCTCAGAATCTGGTTTTCCGCCTCACTCTCCTGACTTTTCCCATTCTGACTTGTTAAGAGCATCACCAGTGAGTACAGATGGAGACCTCAGATTTCTCAGCCCCCCCACCCCCTTCCCAAACTCTACCTGCAAGGCCCAGAGTTACCAAGTGAGGGAGCTGCTGCTTTCACAGCATCCCTCCAGGCTGCCTCGTTTCTGCCAGCAAGCTCTCAACCTAACCTGGGTCACCATTACTCCTGACCCTATTTCTCAGAGATGTCTCTAACCCTTCTCAGAGATGTCCTAACATGCATGGTTGCTGACTTGATCTTCCCAGAGGGCACCTCTGATGAGATGAGCTTCCTGTTTAGAAACATTGAATGGCCTCCACTGTCTGCTGAACTAAAGACAGACCCTGGAGTATTATCCATCATGGCCCCAGACTCCCAATTCAGCCCCCTGTCCCATCCATGCTACATACAGTTAAACTCAGTAACTTGTTCCATGCAACAGGGAGCAGATACTTTTATCTCATCCATTTTCTGACTCATTGCCTCTCTCCTACTGTGCCCTCCTTCTGGAATGTGTTTCTCCAGAAACTTCTCTTGTCAAAACCCCACTTTTCCTTCAAAGACCAGCTCCAGCCACACCTACTTTTAGAGACTTTCTTGATGTGCTTCCACAACTCCCAGCTGAACAGAACACCCCCCGACCAACTTTCAGGCTCTGTGATATTTCTCCTAGCGTGTATCTGTCTCTACCTTCATGATGACTACTTTGTGTGTTCACTTTACTCACCATGTTGCTCATTAAGGATAGGGTCTACTTTGGTTTATTCCCATCTCTCAGTTATGCTTGGTATGATGTCTTTCACGGAGGGTACTCAGTATATGTTTTCAATGGAGCTGAGATGATTCCTATGTTAAAAAAAAAAAAATGAAGTTGCAGGAATGACCTGCTTTACACTTTTCGTGAACCACCAAAGAATAAGCTAGCTAGGAGGAGTTCACTAACTCTACCCTGTTGGTTAATTAGTGAGTTTTGGTGATGCTTGCACCTGGCCTTCACCCACACAGTTGAATGGCCTAGAGCGTCCCTCTCCCCACCGCACAACCATAGTGCAGACCAACCCTCCTGGGCCTTCAGGGCTCGTCTCAGTCCTTACTTGCTCCAAGACATCTTCCCAAACCCCAGGTCTGACTTTGTAGGTGCGCCGCCTATGCAGTCTCATGGAGTCCGGAACCTTGAAGGGCGCCACAGTTGGTGTCACGCTCCCCTGTCATTGCCTTGAAGTTCTTCATAATCTTTTAACAGAGGGTCCCCGCATTTTCACTTTGCACCAACTCCACAAACTAAGTAACCAGTCCCGTGTGATTCCTCCTCTCCCGTTTGCTCCTGTCAACCCCCCGCATCTTCCCTATCTTTGCACTCATCACTCAGAATTTTCATTTACTTTTTATATCCATTTGCTACCCTGTATGCCTCAACAGATCATGAACTCTGCAAAGGCAAGAAAAGAAAGTCTTGTTTATTGTTATATCCCTGTGACTCAGCCTAGTATCATATGCTTAATCAGTATTTGCTGATTGGACAAGTGGATGAATGGTTGAAGGAAGGAAGGAATTTGGGAATTAATAAATATATGTGTTCATCCATAGCCTCTTGGGCAGCCAGAGCAGTGGAGGTCTTCGGTTTTCTGTCTTCAGCTGGGGTCCCATAGAAATAACCTATTTCTAGTACAGAAGCTACTATTGTTAGAAAGGAGGGTAAGATTAGCTCAAGAGAGAAAACAGGCAAAGTAGAGACAAGAAGGAAAAAGATTAAGCAGCACCTAGTTGCTAATGAAGGAGGCCCTAGCAAAAGGGCTCGTGATGTAGGTCTGTTTTGAAAATACGCATGGGAGTCATGAAGTCACTGTTGAGATGCTCTTAGAGGAGATGGTGTGTTAGTGACTGAGTCATCCCCAGCTTGCTTCTCTGCATGTTTTCTGCTCACCCTGGACTTGGGAGGCTTCTATAGATGGCAGTCACTCGCCAGAGGGAAACATCTGTAACTGTCTGTATTTGATGCCATATCATCCTCCCAACTACTTTAGTGATCCCTGGGTTTCACTTTCACTCATGAAGGATGAGTACTTCAAGGTGTGGATGTGCTGAAATTTGATTTCTAGTTTACAATCCCCAGTTTGTTAGGGCCTATTTAAAGTAGAATTGAAAGAATCCTGAATCATGAAGTACATGAGTCAAAAGTATGAGTGGTTATTAACTCAGATACCAAGTTTTCTCCCTAGTGTCCTTCCCTGAAGTCCTTCTTGAAGACTTCTGCTATTCAGAATGGTAACTACTTCCATCTCAGCAGGAAGAGAGAGAGAGAAGTCCCCCTGCTAACTCCAAGAGTCTTGCCAAACCATCACTGCTATCCTCCCTGCCCCTCAGCAACACTGCATGGTGACTCCAGGACAGAAACCCTCTTCCTGCTAAATAGCCTGGGATGAGTCACAAAGTGTTCCTAATTCTCAGTTTTCATGTCTACACAACAGGAACAATGAGATTTCTACTCCATAAATTTGAGAGGATAATGTGGAAAGTGCATGTGAAAGGGACTTAGCACAGTGTCTTGCTTACAGGAAACCCTCTGAATGTGAGTAATTGTCAGCAGACCCACTTCACTTATGCCCCGAAATGGATGTGTAGAAATAAGAAATGCTTGGTATCAATCAGGAGTCAGCAAATTTTCCTCTAAAGGCTAGAGAGTAAATATTCCAGCCTCGTGCTTAGAACACAAATCTCAGTTCTGCAGTTTTGCATGAACGCAGCCATAGGCAATACACAAGTGAATGAGTGTGGCTGTGTGCCAATAAAACTTTATTTACAAAAACAGGCACTAGGGGCCAGATTTGTCCCCTGTCCATAAGTCACCAATCCCTGGCTTTGAACTCTTGGGAGCCCCAGTCAAGTGTAATAGAAAGACATGCAGACTTGTCAGGGTAAGTCAAGAGGGGACAGAGGCTAGATGCACGCCATGCTGAAGAACACAGCGCTGATGTTTTAAAGAAGATTGTTGAGTCAGAGATGAAATTGTGCCAGTCAGTCCTCTAGAATACAAAGAAATGTTACAGATTGCTACTATGTAGCAGTATTTTATGTTATCATTGCCTCATAAGTAGAAGGCAATACTTGGAAGCAGTTTTAATTTTGTTTCTCCACCACAATAAATTACAAGGAGAATCAGCATCCTTGCAGTCTCTTATAATATTGTTAAAAGTTACAGGTCAGACAGTGTTTTCTGAAAACCACAATTTGGCAATATAGCTATGTATAATCAAATCATTTTCAAAGTGAAAAAATATGACTTAGAGCAAGTAGCTCAGCTATTGGGATTTTTTTTTTTAATTTCAGATTTCAGGATAAGTAAATTTTCAATGTTAAAACCAAGCCTGCCCGTTTTATTAGATGCTTACTTTGGGAACTTGGTTCCCCCCCACCCCGGGCCCCAGACGTTCAGTATTTCTAGGAATAAAAATGCCTGCAAATTGACTAGTAATCATGCTCCCTGTCACTACAGGGCAAATGAAGCTGGGCAGGGAACATTTCTGTAAGGGTTTGACCGGAAAGGAATGGAAAGCACGTGGGTAGCAGAAGTCACTTTCTGTTCTTATTATTAAAATAAAGAAATGACAAATGAGAATCTGGGAGCAATGTTGGACTCTAAAAAGGAGCCAATGGCTTAGTAACCACTCAGAACGCTTGACGGTTCACCGAAGCTGCCAAACGGGAGGGTGAGTCTGCTCATTTGACGGCAGCGTGGCTACAGTTCCTGCTCCAAACAGGAAAGCAAAACACACTTCTGGGCCTTTCAGGATGCTTGCTCAGGAGAGCTCTTTGTAGGAAATTTACAGATTCCTAGCTGAGGGAGGACATTTAAGCATTGCACACAACACACACACACATGCACACATACACACACACACACACACACATCCTCCTCATCAATAAAGTTACAAAGGAGCCCCACGTGCATTGGACATCACATTGTATTTTGATATTTAAAATGGCTAGCTGCTTTTAGAGCTTTTACAATTTAATCAATGTCAATTTAAATGGACCTTGTGCTTTATCAATTGGGAATAAGAAATTAAGTCTGTCATCCTAAGGCCAGGTTCTCATCAGACTTCTCTTATTTTACTGTTTTACAGTTTTCTCCTCGTCTTTGGTTGCTTGATTTTGTCAGTGTTTTCCACCATCCCTGAGCACACCAAATTGGCCTCCAGTTGCCTCTTGATTCTGGTAAGTGAAACATAAAAACAAATATATACACAAAGTTTGCATAATATGTGAACTGTCTGTAATATTTATGCAATGCATTTGTCCCACGAAAAGTTCTCTCTAGAAAAAAAAAGAGTTTCTGTGTAATATAAAAGTCTCAAAGGTCACTGAAACATTTGCCCACTCTTTTAATCTTTAGTCAGTCCTCTAGAATACATAGGAATATTCCAGATTGCTATTGTGTAGCAGTATCTTATGTGATTGTCGCCTCCTAAGTAGAAGGCAATACTTGGAAGCAGTTTTAATTATGTTTCTCCACCACAATAAATTATAAGGAGAATCATCATTCATGCAGTCTCTCATAATATTGTTAAAAGTTATAAGTTAGACAGTGTTTTCCGATAACCACAATTTGGCAATATAGCTAATTATAATTGGCCAAGAACTGTGAGAATATAGCACCTCATAAGAAAACAGAAGGCGTCATGCTCTTTTCAACCAACAGACTGTATTATGAATTTCGCTGCTAATACAGTTACCTGGTGAGAAATTCTGCAGTTTTCTCTGTTTCCATTATGCTGTCAATCCTCAACCAGAGAGAATTGCTCAATTCATTTTAAAATGGAAAAATACCGCAAGATATTTTAGTCTGAATGATACTGAGCCTTTTCAGCTCTTATCCATTCTATTACAACTGAGTTATGGTGCTGTATACTTAAATCACAGCTGATTGAAGGTTTGGTTCATTTACATCGATTTTGACCTACTCACCATGTCCCAGAGTATCAGACTTGACATTCTCAGAACTGTCTGAATGAGCTATAAATTGGAACAACTTACTTTTCCATAAAATTTGGAGGACTAGAGAGGAAAAGAAAGAAAGGGGGGTGGAGTAAGGTGACTGTGTGCCCTAATGAACAGATTGGTTATGCACAGTGATGAACATTTTATGGAGCAGAGTACTCTTCCCTTGAAGGTAGGAAGTGAAAGGTGTCAGTTCATGTAACCTGGAGAGCTGCTGTCTTCCTTGCCCTGTCTACGGCCATACCACCCTGAACGCGCCCGATCTCGTCTTCCTTGCCCTGTCAGAGACTGGTTTGTGCGTGGCGTTACCAAGGCTTCATCCAGACTCCATCCTACACGAAGGAGAAGTCACTTTCAAACCTGAAACGAATCTTTTCCAATCTGTTTCCATACAAGCTGTACTCAGCAATATATTGCTAACATCAAGGTTACTATTTCAAAGCCCAAGCAGACAACAAATATACTGAAGAGCCCACTGGGGATTTGTTCCATTTCCAGGGCTTCCACTGGGGTAGAAAGTGGGCTTTTAGCCTCGTACACCAGATGGTCTGAGCAATTCAGTCCTTGCTAAAGAGTTTCTAAATAGTTCAAAGAAACCTATGTTATTAAAGAAAAGCCAAAAGCTGGTTAATATCATGATTTTTAAAATTTCCTGAGCAGTAGACAACTAACCAGAGTTCAGTAACTAAAGTGTACGTGAATATATAAAAATGTAGATGTTTTATACCTCTCGTTTTTTGCCAGTTTTATTGAGATATAATTGACATATATTGTGTAAACTGAAGTGTATAGTGTGATGATTTTATATACATGTATATTGCAAAATGATGACCACAGTAAACTTAGTTAACACTTCATCACTTCACATGGTTACTATTGTGTGTGTGTGTGTGTGTGTGTGTGTGTGTGTGTGTGATGAGAACTCTTAAGATCTGCTCCTTTATCAACATTCAGATATGCAGTACAGCATATTACCTACAGTCGCCACGCTGTGCATTAGACCCTCAGAACTCATTTGTCTTATAATAGAGGGTTCATATCCTTTGAGCATCTTCATCAATTCCCACCCCACCTGCACCATCACCAGGCCTGTTTCTGTGAGTTCAGGGGTTTTTGGATTTTAGATCCCACGTGTGAGTGAGATCATGCCATATTCTCTGTCTCACCTGTTTCACTTAGCATAAGAACAACCCATGCTGTCACAATGGAAAGATTTCTTTTTATGGCTGAATAGTATTCCGTTTTGCATATGTGTGTCATGGATAGATAGTTTCCGTGTCTTGGCTGTTGTGAATAGTGCTGCAATGAAGATGGGGGTGCAGAGGTCTCTTTGAGATCTTAATTCCATTTCCTTCAGATAAATACTCAGGAGTAGGATTGCTGGATCAGATGGTAATTCTATTTTTGGTTTCTTAAGGAAACGTCACACTGTTTTTCACAGTGGCTGCATCAATTTCACATTCCCACCAACCAACTGTGTAGGAGGGTTCCCCTTTCTCCATATTCTCCTCAACACTAATCCCTCGATTTTTAATGTGGCCATTCTAACAGGTGTGAGCTGAAATCCTATTGTGATTTTTATTTACATTTCTCTGATGATTAGTGATGTCGAGGGCCTTTTTGTGTACCCATTGGCCATTGGTAAGTCTTCTTTTATCCCTCAGTCTTTTTTTTCTCTAGTTCCCTCATTTTTAATCAAGTCTATCAAGATACAATTCACATAGAATAATCATCACGCATTTTAAGTGTCTAGTTTCATGAGTTTTGACAAACACCTATTGTTTGTCACGTGTATTAGTTTCTTAGGGCTGTATAATAAAGTATGTCATATATATGAAATTATATATATCATTGTGTTGAGTGAAAGAATGAGATATTTACAGAGTCTTGTGTTTGGCTTCTTATACTCAACATGATAGTTTTGATATTCATTTGTATATTTTTTAATTGAAGTATAGTTTACTTACAATGTTGTGTTAGTTCTGATGTACAGCAAAATGATTCCAATATATATTTTTTTCCTATATTCTCTTCTATTGTGGTTTATTACAGGATGTTGAATATAGTTCCCTGTGCTATGCAACAAGTAGGACGTTGTTGTTTATTTTGTATGTGGTTGCTGGTGTCTGCTGATCCCAAACCCCTAATCTATCCCGCTCCCCACTGCCCACCTCCTTTGATAGCCATAGTTTGTTTTCTTTGTCTGTGAGTCTGTTTCTGTTTTGTAAATAAGTTCATTTATATCATATTTTAGATTACACATAAAAGCAATATCGTATGAAATTTCTCTGACTTACTTCACTTAGTATAATAATCTCTGAGTGCATCTATTTTGCTGCAAATGACAGTACTTCATTCTTTTTTATGGTTATACTAGTTCATTGTGCACATGAGCCACATCTTCTTTATCCATTCACGTGTTAATGGACACTTAAGTTGCTTCCATATCCTGGCTATTGTAAATAGTGCTGCCGTGAATATTAAGGTGCATGTATCTTTTTGAATTAACGTTTTTCTGCAGACTTATGCCCAGGAGTGAGATTGCTGAATCACATGGTAGTTCTATTTTTAGTTTTTTAAGAGACCTCCATACTGTTTTCCGTAATGGCTACACCAATTTACATTCCCACCAGAGTGTAGGAGTATCCTTCAGGCTCAAATGCCTTTAGCTCTAACAAAGTTGAAACCAGTCCTTTTATGTACATGTGGCCTTTGTGTTAAGCAGTGTAGTACATGCCGCAGATGGATAGCCTCTGAAAGCTGTTACTACTTGGCTTTCCATAGGTCTCTTTCTGTGCTCTAGTGATAAACTGTCAAGGTATCCTGAAACAGAGTATAATCTTAAAATCTACCTGAAAATAATTGGACTGTGTTGCAGGTCTAAGCTTTTACTGATGTTATTCTTTTCATCAGTGTTTTCTCCAAAGACTATGCTTTATGTGAACAAAAATATCAAGTATGACCTTTGCTTTTCTTATTTTTATTTAGTAATAATTGGAAAAGCATGCATATAATAATTCTTTTCACAATTAGTTAACATAGTATATTATAAAAGTTCAGTCAGTTGTAGAATACTGACAAAAGGCAAGAGAAATCTTAATTACTTGGAGAATATTGTATTTATTATTATTGCATGTATTTTTTATTTTTTTATTTTTTTTAATTTTCTATTCTTTGGTTTACTTTATCTTGTATTATTCAAATTTTTGAATACTTTCAGTATTATAAAATAGATATAAAAGAAAAATTCACAGATTTCAAAGTCTGTCTACCCTCTGAATATCTAATCAAACAGAATTCATAGAACACTGTTCTGACTGGCAATGTTTCTAGTTCCCAAGATGACACATGTCTGAAGAGTTGGCATCCAAATTTTATTAGGAATGTTTTTAAATGTTTGCAAAAATTATATAATAAAGTCACTTTTTTACATTTTTGGTCACAAATACAACACCAAAGGAGTAAATTTAGAAGACATATATAAACCACACATCACAACTGTATTTTTTCCATAACTCTGTCTCTTTTTTTTTTTTTTTTAACATTTCAGTAGATATACCCACATTCTAAATAAATCTATTTCTGGCGAGTAAAAGACATTCACACGTCTGATAGGGAGCACCTTTAGGCAAACTGGGCCCTAGACAAGCATCCCATGGCCCTTCTTGACCCTCACACTTTCTCCCCATTTCCTTGAGAGAGCAGGTTAGAGACAGGCCACAGCCTCCTCATCTCCCCGGGTCCCCTCAGAGTACCCCACCCCAAGGGGAGAATTTGTCGTTGTCATCCAGAACTGCACTCCCCTGCTGCGTGTAAACCTATAACTTACTGGCCTTGGTTACAAGCCAAATGGGGACCACGGAGCCCAGAATGAAGAGTGTAACGTAGAGTCTGGAGTCAGGACTCCAAATTCCACTTCTAACGCTTTTTAGCTGAGTAATTTTAGGGAACCACCTTTCTGTTCCCTTGTCTGTTGAAAGCGGGTAATAACACCACCTGGTTTATAAAGCTGTTGTGAGGATGAAATCCCAGCGCTAAGCTCAGTGCAAAGAAGACACCAAATATGATGGTCACTCCACTTCCACATGCAGTGGGGCCTAATGGGGGCCAACGAACCAGGAATATTTGAAAAGGGCTGCATGTGAGAACTTATCATACTTTCCTAATAGAGAAAAAGTATCTTTGCAAGAGTTTTCTCTCCACAAACACTGCAAATC